TGCTCGGGCCCGCGCTCGGCACCCTCGGCCTCGCGCCGCCGAGCCGGTGACAGGCTAATGAACGCCACCCTGCGCGGCTCCGCCATCCCCTCTGTTGTGGGCCGCCTCTCGCGCTCGGGCCGGCGCGCGGTCCACGCCAAGCTGCTCGCCCGCCCGCCCTGCCGGTCTCTCTCCGTCGCTTCTGTTCCCTCCAGCGCCCTCAGCCTTCGCCGCCGACGCCACCGTGAATGTGGACCGTGTCCCCTGCCCCGGCACTACGTTCGGACCGGCCCCGCCGCCATCGCCTGAGTCGCCGCGGCCGCCATGTTGGATCCCCCACATAAATAGAAGCAGGCCGCCGCTCGGGCGCATGCGCAGGCGGCTGGCGCTCGCGTCCACAGTCGTGGCTGCGACTCCCTTTTCCTCTTTTCCTCCAGACAGCCGGGAGTCCGGATGGGTCTGAGGAAGTGACGTCACGGGCTGACGCGTTTCCCTGGGAACGAGGACGCTGTCAGTGCGGTCCGCCGGAGGTGGTCGGGGTTTCCCGGCGGCTTCCGGAAGCGGCGGCGTGTGGTGGAGGCGGCCTGGGCGCGGGCTCAGACCGGGTGATGAGCTGCCAGGCACCCGCGGCCGCGCCCTCTACTAGGCCAACTCCTGTTTCTCTGGTCCGACCGGCGAGGGGAGGGTTGTAGGTGGCAGGATGGGGGAACTCACTAGTTCGCGTTTTGCAATTGTAAGAAAGTTGGGCTTGTAGATATTTTGCTCTGTAGGATAAGCGTGAGACCATAAGGTCGGTTTGAACCTCAAGCTCGGCAGTTCAAACCCATCATCCGCTCCTCAGAAACCCTATACACGGTCGCTATGAGTCGGACCCACCTCGACAACACTGTGAGTCGGACAACAACTCTCAACTCATAGGGTCCTGGTGTGGCGTTGCACTGGACTGCTCACCACAAAATTGGCAGTTCAAACCCACCAGGTGTTTCTCGGAAGTTATACAGGGTTGCTAAGAGTCGGAACTGACTCAGTAGCACTTAACGACAAAATTCTCAACCCATATGAGCCCCAAAGGTGCAGTGGTTAAGCACTTGACTGCTAACCAAAAGATAAGTGGTTCACCCACCACCTCCTGATGTGACAGTCTGTTCTAGTTAAGATTTACAGCTTTAGAAACTCTGGAGAAGTTTTACTCTGTCCTGTGGAGTCACCGTGGTTCAGAACTCAGAGTGAGTTTGCGATTTTTTTTTTTTTTTTGAGGGGGTGTTACGCTTAACCCACCCAGAGGCACCATGGAAGAAAGATCTGGCGATGCCGCCAAAAACCCCTAAGGAGCAGTTCTGCCCAGCGCACATGGGTTGCCACGAGGCAGGGTCACTGTGAGTTGTCATGGATTCAAGGGTAAAAGCAGTTCTCTGGAAGTAGAATTCTGAATAACCCGTTTTGAAGTGGTTGGAAAGGAGACTGCATTGTGATAAGTGACTAGAATTCAGATTTACAATAGAAAGTACATTTGAGGGTTCTGTGTTAGTGACCAAAACAACAATTACCAGATTTCTTGACTAAGTTGGTGGGAATTCTGAGTCAGTTCAGAATTTTGCTCACTTGTGGTGGTGAAGGATAAGGACTAGACTACTAACCCCAAGGCCAGCAGTTCCCTCACCAGCTTTTCCTTGGAAACCATAATTAGAACGGGGAAAGAAGGGGGATTCTCAAGTCATTTTAGGTTTGGTCTGTCTGTCAGCGGGAAACAAGTCAATCTCAGCAATGAGGAATTTCTAAGGGGCAGGGGAGAGAGGAGACTTGGTAAAAAGAAATATAGTTAATAATAAGCTAAAACCTGAAAGACAAGACTCAAGGAAACCATACATGGACCAATTCCCTAGATTGGCTCTCTGGGCACTGACACCAGGAGTATAGTGCACTCCCCTGACAAACGGATACAGGAAGAAGAATCCAGTTATATTCAGGCTCCACCTCTCTTCTTCTTTCACTAGGAGGGTGCCCTTCCTTAGCTCTGTCTATGCTAATAAACTTAGCTTTCTTTTCCCTATGTTTCTTGTCTTTCTGAGTTATTTTGCTCAGTTTAAGTGTGTTGTTAAGGGCCACACAGAAGTCCGACACACAGGCTGAATAGGATTTCCAAGCAGCAACTGGTGAGCTTGAACCACCAACCCTGCGGATCAAGCTGACTTTGCAGTCCAGTGCCTTAACCCACAGTGCCACACTAGAACTCCAAGAGGGAGGCCAGCAGTGCACATGTGCACAAAGCTCACAGCGCCTGGTATTCCCAAGCAGTCTCTGATTAAAGGCCTAACCAGGCCCAAGCCTGCTTAGTATATGCTGTTGGAACATTCAGGGTGGTGTGGCCATGAGTTAAGCCTTTTCAGTTCTCTGGAAGGAGAGTGGCACCGTTCCAGGGGCTACAATTCGACCGTTATACCTACACAGGGTCACACTTAACACCACTTCAGAGAGCCTGGTGGCTCTAGAGGATAAGCACTGAACTGTGACCCACAAGGCCAGCTGTTTGAGCTCACGAGCCTCTCTACAGGAGAAAGGATGTGTTCTCATCCACAAAGATTTATAGCCGTGGAAACCATATGCAGGATCACTATGAGTCAGAACCAACTAGAGGGCACTGTAGAATCACACTGAACTTTGAACTGAAAGGTCGGCAGTTCAAATCCAGCAGCTGCTTCTTGGAAACCCTATTCAGGGTTCAACAACAATACCCACAAAAAGTCCCTATGAGTCAGAATCGACTGGAAGGCAGTGGGGTTTTGGTTTTTTAATTACTTTCCCAAATCTGTAAGATGATGGTGATGGAAATGATTCCTTGGCACCTGTTTTACCTCCAACAGATGGTACTGTAGGATAAGCACTGGGTCACAAGGTCAGTGATTCAGACTCACCAGTTGCTCCTCAGAAACCCTATGAGTCAGAACCAACTAGATAACATTTAGCATCTTTCCCATGACTCCTCATTGCAAACTAGGATCTCCGACAGCCATAATGGAACGTAAGTGGCCTTTGTTGTTGTAAAGTGCTGTCAAGTTGGTGTCCGCTCATAGCGATCCTGTGTACGGTTTCTAAGGAGCAGCTGGTGGATTTGAACCATCAGCCTTGTGGTTAGCAGTCCAGTGATGATCCTATAGCCCCACAACAGGATTCCCTCAGTATTCCCATCCGTCTTGCAAAGGACCATCCATGTTGATGTTTCTAAAACACATTTTGCTGTATCATTCTCTATCCTAATAAAGGAAGTTACATACTTACATTCAAGACTCTCAACAATTTATTCCCAAGGCTGCAAACTGGTGGCCTGTGAGCCAAACCTTTCTGCAGGTATGTTTCCTGTCAAATGTGAGATGATCATGATCCAGAGTAAGAATTACATCTCACTTGGTAATACACATGTACATACCTGAAATCAAAGTGTCACAAGACAATACTCAACCTTATGGTGTAGAATAAAGTATAAACAAGGAAGCTAATACAAGGTTTTAAGCTACAGTGTAGAAACAAAGCCTAACAAAAATAATACAAAGTAATTAAGGAGGAAGTTCTGGATAGAATGTGAGAGAACATGTAGAACAAAGCTCAAATTCTTTTTTTTTTTTAAAAAAAAAGACTAATTGGATCGACAGACTAGAAGAACCCCTGAGACTATCGCCCTAAAATGTCCTTTGAACTTAGAACTGAAGCCATGCCTGGGTCATCTCTCATCCAAATAATAGATTGAATTAGAAAATAAACATTACCTGTCAGTAATATGCTTACCAGCTGCTCCTTGGAAACCCTATGCAGCATCAGCTGTAAGTGGAAACTGACTTGACAGCACTTAACAACAACAAAGTGCTCCCTTAAATAATCAACTATATGAGACCAAAACCTTCAACATTTACCAAAGATGAAAAGATAAGGCAGGGCAGGGAACCTCCCTCAGTGGAACTAGAACAAACAGAAGGGAATGCTGACACAGTGTGAAAAACGTAACCAATTTGTTTCAAATTTGTGTGTAAAGATTGTTAAATGAGCTAGCTAGAAACTGGTGGAACACAGAGAATACACTCCTTGGTCACCCGTCGACTTTGGAACTGAACCCACTTTGCATGACTCAATTTTCAGCCAAACAATAGATGTTTATATGGTGGGACAACAACACTAGTGATGTACACACACCATAGAATGGTCAACCATTTGAGATCAAAAGGCTAACAATTAGCTAAGGACAAAATTCAGAACAGTGGGGAAAGGAGGAGGAATTGAAACAAGAAGTACAGGGAGGAAGGAGGACATGTGGTTACACTGAGAAGATTGCAATCTAAGGTAAAGTGGAGTCCATGATATTGAAGATCTCTGTAAACATTAATTCACAGTAAGAAGTTGGGGGTTTGTTTTTTTAATTGTTAAACGGGAACATAATCTGCATAAACTTTCACTTAAACACAACGTTTGTTTTTAAAGAGCAAGTTAGACACCTATGAATGTGGTGAACCATGCTATTGTTAAGTGGCATCAAAATAGGTTCTTATGGACAGAATGAAACTGCCAGGTCCTGTTCCAGCCTCCTAATCAGTACTCTTGAGCCCATTGCTGTTACCACTGTGCCAATCCATCTCATTGGGGGTCTTCCTCTTTGAAGCTAACCCTCCACTTTACCAAGCATGATGTTCTTCTTCAGGGATTGGTCCTTCTTGATAACCTGTCCAAAGTAGAGAGATGAAGTCTCGCCATTCTGACTTCCAAGGAGCATTCTGGCTGTACTTCCTCTAACGCACATCTGTTCTAGGAGTCCCAGTGTGGCGTGTGGCGTTACAGGATAAGCACTGAGCCAAAAGGTCGGTTTTAACTGCAAAGTCAGTGGTTCAAACTCACCAGCCGCTCCTCAAAAACTCTATACAGGGTCGCTATGAGTCAGAGCTGATTCCACTCATTTAACCAACAACGACTAGCAGCCCATGGTACTTTTAATATCCTCTCCAACACCATAATTCAAATGCATCAATTCTAAGGTCTTCCGTATTCACCGTCTAACTTGCCTATACATGTGAGGCTATTGAAAATGCCATAGATTGGGTCAAAGGCATCTTAGTCCTCAAACTGC